CCTCCATGATCCATTTTCAATACAAACACTAAAACTGAAGCTGGTTTATTTAGTGATATCCAGTGCTAGCCCTTTAAGAAGTGGTTCAACACCTTTAAATAAAGCTATCTACAAGTTTTTGCCTGTCTTTGTTAGATTTTAAAGGAGGCAGCATCAATAGAGGATAACAGGACAATAGCAATACATGTGTTCCCTGTGTTTGTGTGAAGAATGGAGCATAGACGGGAAGACAAATGGCAAGAAGGATTAGGACACAGGCTTCAAAGGTCTAAAATCCCCTGAGTTCTGCCTAGTGTTAACACGAGCTCCCCTTGTTGAGAGGGTAAGTTGGTGTTGAGTGTTAACCCTCCCTTTTCTGAATTCCCTATAATAACAATCAACAAGGGGAGTGCTAATTTTCCTCAAAGTCAACATCCAGGACACGCTCCTGCCATCAGACCTGTAAACAGAGTCAATTCCATGGTTAAGGAGAACAGCTAGGAATTCTGACCTTAGGAAAACCTAACACACGTTATAAAAATCATCAAGAAATTTCTAAAAGTCCTTAGCAAATATCATGCAAGGCAAACATATGTTAACCACACACAAAAATAATAATAATAAATGTCTGGAGCAAAGCAGGGAAATAAATATGTAGCTTATACACCAAGACAACGTAAGTTGAATTTCATGCCAGAAAAATAAAACACGTTATCAGCAAGGCTGCAACAGATGCTTGTCTGGTTTTATACAGTTGCGTTGCTGCATACACTGATGGCCACTCAGTATAATACTCAGGAGGACATCAGGAAGCTCAAAAATAGGAAGTCGCTTTTGCACATGCAGCTTATGGTATACCTCCATCAAACTAAAACAGCGGTCCCAAATTAAAAATATCAAATAAAATTGCCTAACTGATCAACTGTCCTCAATAAATCCTATATTTAGAAACTATGAAAGATGGGAAAGATCTTGAAAATTTATTTTTGCATTTTATAACTATAAGGTTGGAGGCCAAGAGAGATTTCATGGCTTGGAGGAGGCTCAGCATTAATTAAGAGAAATGAGAATTATTTCTCCCTACTTATTCTATTGCCTCAAGCCTCCCACAAATGCCTGCTGTCATTTTGTGTAATGGATTAAATATAACAGTAGATATGTAGAGCTTGCAAAAATATAATCACTTCTGTATCTTGAAATATATTATTTATGAATGGAAGATATAATCAACAGCAGAAAAGTTGAAACTAGGTTCATTTTTGCAAGTTCCACTTTCAATTCAAACATAAAAATTTAACCTGACTTATTAGCAAAATTATGAACTAATCTTAGCTTATAAATATCATTTATTTACTAAATAAGAGGTTTAAGGTAATTTTCTTGTGATGAATATGAAATGTCCTTCTCCATCTCTTTTAATTTTAGTTTGAAGTCTATTTTGTTAGATATTAGGATAGCTACCCCAGCTTGCTTCTTAGGTCCATTTGATTGGAAACTCTCTTTGCAACCCTTTACTCTGAGGTAATGTCTGTCTTTGAGGTTGATAGGTGTTTCTTGTATGCAGCAGAAGGATGGGTCCTGTTTTCCTACCCATTCTGTTAGTCTGCATCTTTTTATAGGTGAATTGAGTCCATTGATATTAAGAGATATTCATGACCAGTGATTGTTAACTCCTATTATTTTAGGTTTTATTAGTGGTGGCAGTAGTGTGCCTGTGTCTCCCTTCTTGGGATTTGCTGGTGTGAAGTTATCTATTGTGTTTTCATGGGTGCAGCTAACTTCCTTGGGTTGGAGTTTTCCTTCTAGTACTTTCTGTAGGGCTGGATTTGTGGATAGGTATTGTTTAAATCTTAATTAATCTTAATTAATCTCTCCTTCCATCCCAAACCAAAAATGGCCCATGAATCTCTAAGTCCCTCCCTCCTCCCTGTGCATCTCTCTGTCAGTATTCCTGGCTCCTCCATCCTCTCTATGGCTAATTCCTGTCAACTAGTCACTGGCTCCACCCGAATCCAAGGTTAATTTTATTAACTCAGTCTCATAGTTTCACAGTACAATCAAATATCCCACAACAGTTTTTTTTTTCTCAAAAAGTTTTAGAGTCCTTGCCTGCTGAGGTATGTCTTCAATTTAAAATTTAAATTTTTAAATTGCCACACAAATTACTGTGCAATATATAAAATATTTTTGAAACTCTATTTAAATACTTTTAAAAGAAATTTGAATATATAAACTAACCCAGAAGTCTTTTAGATAAATTATACATAACATATTTGTAAATACTTTTGCTTTTTTTCTTTAAAAAGCTTAGAATAGCCGGGTGGTGGTGGTGCATGCCTTTAATCCCAGCACTTGGGAGGCAGAGCCAGGTGGATCTCTGTGCATTCGAGGCCAGCCTGGGCTACCAAGTGAGTTCCAGGAAAGGTGCAAAGCTACACAGAGAAACCCTGTCTCGAAAAACCAAAAAAAAAAAAAAAAAGCTTAGAATAGTCCATACAGATATGAAAAATTATCACCATAACACAAATTTTGTTTGGTAATCAAGAAGCTACTATAATATTAGGATAGTATATCATGGCATGAGGGAATTATTTGAGTACATGGTAAAAAAAATTTAAAGCAAAAGAATGAAAGAGGAAAGATTGAAAGAAAGAAAAATAACTTATGAAAACACCTAGTTCGCAGTTTGGATTTGCCTGAGCCAGTAACTATAAACACAATCCATTTGCAAATAATAAACTTTCATTTATCAACATAGAAATAGCCATAGTTAATGTAAAAACAATTAATAGATTTTCCTCAGAGGTAAATGCTGACATCCCAGAGTAGCCTTTTCAACAACTTGTAAAGTAAGACTCCCCAGGGCCTTGTGAATGGCAAGCTTATTAATATGAACTCTCCAAACACCATGACATAAAGTGTCTGCTCAGGAGGTCATCTCCAAAATGTACCCCATACATCTTCATGCACAAGAAATGATAATTTATCACCCAGACAGAAGGATCTACTGTAAACTAATCCAAACTGCTGATGATACACTAAATCAGTTTGAGTGAAAAGTATAAATGAAGCAGGAAGCAGAGTACCGAGGGATACAGATCCACCTGATCAATGAGATGTCACGAGGCAAATGAAATGCAATGTTGACAAACACAGACTCCCTTGGTTGAAAATTAACCAAATCAAGTATTGGAGCATAAGATTGCACATTAACAGTAGCTTCAAATGAAGATTTATTTTAATCATTTTTTTTTTTTTTTTGCAGTTTCAGATAAAACTGAACAGGCTGGGCCAGTGGAATAGAATATAGGGTGTACTCTAAATAATATATTTTACATACCATAGAAAATATGAGAGGAAAAGGAAAAGGGCTACAAAGACATTCTGCCCAAAGAACGGAACCATAGTCACTCAATCTGATGCGCAAATACATGTACATAGTTAAAGGGAAATAGTAAAAATTGTATGCAGAAAATGATTTCATATCAGCTTGCCACTGGGAATCCAAATTCAATTTCTATTGCCCTTATGAAAACTTAAATGTTTTCTGAAACTGTCACGTTACAAATTCAACGGGGAAAACAAAGTAGTGGGGATAAGGGAAGGACATCCCTCTACATAGTTTATATTCATGGAGGGCACTCTTTGAGGTGAAGGGAAAAAAAAGATTTTCTCAACTATGTGATCAGAATGGAGTCTTCGTCCCTCAGCAGATAGAACCTACATCCTTCAGCAAATACGTTCGATGAATTCAGCTATTCTGAGGGCATCTGTAATGAAAAGGGCTGATTAAAGTAAATTTTGATGGCTGCTAAAACTAATCTGCAAAAGTAGCTTGGAAGGAAACTTATTCTTCAATAAATGTATATGCTCTTCTTATTTGTTGCATTAAATTTATAGTTTGTCATAGCAAATTTAACTCTTGCCTTTGTGTTTTATCTTCCAGCTTATTTTTTGATAAAGATAGAATTGTACTACAAAAATATAGCCCGATCCCAGGTGCAGTTTATTTAAATTTCAAAATGAAAAGCTTACTAAGAACAGATAAGATTGATTGCTCTCTCTGTCTTAGCATAATTGTATTTCAGGTGAACATCAATTTACTTTAAAGGACACTTCTAAGTAGCAGAATGCATCATAAATAATTCATCAATCACAGTGACTAGGAGAGTGATTTACTCCAGCAGATTCAATGGAATCAAAGTTCTAATTTTTTATAGTTGTATCTGCTCTACATTTTTAATAATTTTGATGTATCCATTCTTACATTTTCATGCTTATTACCCTAAATGCCATATATACAACTGTCTTTTCTCTTTTTTCCTTTTATTAAAAATAGATTTTTTTCATGCAATATATCCTGATTAGTTTTCCCTCCCTCTACTCCGCCCCGTTCCTCCCCAGGTCCCCTCCTATCCATATCTGCTACATTTCTGGCTCACATTAGAAAAGAACAGACTTCTAAGAGATAACAACAAAACAAAAACCACATAATTATCTCTTTTCTTTTAAAATGATTCATTTTCCTTTCAAATAAAAGTATTTTATTTTTATTGGGACAAACAGCAACTCTGTGGATCAGTAGTAAAACAAAACATAGACAGTACATAACTGAAAAACAAGTGTAAAATTTTCTCAATTATGTAATTTTAGTAAAGCTATCAATTTGTTTTCATATTACTTAAACATCTCAATTACAGTAAATAATAGCAGTTTTTCTGAAGCTCTTATGTAAGTTGTTCAGGATCTGACATGTGTAAAAAGTAGTTCAGTTTGTAAATGCCAATTAAATGCCTCTAAATCGTATACCAGTTTGGGTTTGGACAGATGATACACTGAGTGTCCTATGACGGTTTTTCTCTTTTATCATACAGAAGGAATGAACCTGCCTTGCACACCTCAAATTTCTCCATCACAGTCACAATTTGTTACTAGTAACTTCCCAAACTGTGAAACAACCTTAAAAGAAATATAACAACAAGAAAAACGGTAGCAAAAAAAATAGAAAGCATTTTACTTACTTGCAAACCCCTCTGAAAAACGGAATGGCCCATAAAATTAGCCAGCATTCTAATTAGAGCAGCACCCTGTGGAAAAAAGGTATTGGAAAGAAAAGTATTTCAACAAGTGTGAGTCCAGCAGTGCCACATGTCAATCAAGAAGGGCTCACTCTGTTCACTCTGTTCTATTTGGAAAATATTCAAGGAGGAAAACATGAAATAACATGTTTACAGGTTGCAAAATCCATGTTGGGTACATCTAAATGTTTTCTGGATCAAAACCTACTACTTCAAGGTGAAAATCCCTCAGACACAGTATCTCAAGAAACAGTCTGTAATTAGGAGTAATAAATACTTCTGTGAACATGGTACATGGCAAACTTAATAAAGCACGGTACTTACACTCAAAAGCCCATGATCGAGTAACCTAAGGATACCCATGGTAAGAAATATTCATAGGAAAGCATAATCTGCAGGTACTCTAGCTGTTCACTGAACTCCTAACTCATGTGGGAATACTTTACAGCAAAAGCGAAGAAGAGAGTGTGAAGTAGTCTGGTTATCCGGGTTCAAACTCTGTCTCTGCTAATGTCTTAACACTTTACCAGGACGAATGATTAGACCTCTCTTCTCTTATTTTCTTCGCTTGCAACATAGAGTTACCAACAATCCTATACAGTGAGACAGTTTTGAAGATTAATTAGTGTGTATGTATGTATGTATATGTGTGTGAAGTACATACATTGAAATTAGTGTATGTGTGTGTGTGTAAAGTACATATTTCAAAAATTAGTATATATATATGTGTGTGTGTGTGTGTGTGTGTGTGTGTGTGTATGAAGTATATATATTAAGAAGTTGTGTGTGTATCTGTGTAGAATAGTTCAAAACAGGGTCTGAAAGATAGTGTGAGTCATCAATGCTATTTTCATGATGGCCCAATATTTTTGTCATATCTATTTCTTATAGAGGCTAGATGCAGTTATATGTACCTATATCTAAGGAAGTGTATGTAGTTAATATATTTTGATTAATAAAATAAAATACTAAATTAGAAAATTGAATACTACTATTATAATGAATATAGAATACTATCAGTGCAATATGTGAATAAGTAATCAACTTGAAGCAATCCAAGCAAGGAGGGGTTTAGCCAGGATGATCACAAACCTGAATGTAAACTACAAATTAGTCTTCTAGACATCACTAGTTCATACTGAGCTGCTCAGGGGTTATTAAGCAGTGACTGTCTAAGTATAAATGACAGTCTAGGTTTAGTAGAAATTCCTTTGTGCCTACATATCCCTCTCCACCATCCTTACAAATGCATATACTGCAGTAACTCCTCTATCCAAGGTGTCTCTTTTAACTTGTATTAATGCACATCAGTTGTACATGCTGATGAGGTTCACTATGACATCTCAATGCACGCACCCAGGGTATCCTCTTCAAAGAGAGAACCCTACAACGCTCATCAATCCTACACTGCCCTGCCACAGTCAGACACAACTGTGATTTTCCACTGTTTGACACTAAAACTGTTTCCTTTAATTTTGGAACTATGATGCAATATAATATTCTCACTCCATTAGTCAATCACCCTTAAAGCACTCTCATAAAAAAAAAAAAATCTCAGTTTCCCGAAGAACTTGTTCCTCAAATGAGGATGTTATCATCATCTCAACAAATAATGAGCTGACAAACCATAAAGTTTTATGCCCCTCCAGATATATTTCCCTCTCTCATCTTCTACTTCTTTCTCTCTCTATGTATAATATTTTGCTTCTTGCTCTCTGTCTTCTGCACACTTGTATAAGTCCATAAAACATAAGCATTTATGATTCAATCTAGGGAGCGGGTGAGAATCCCCTGTAGAAGGCATCAGCTCTGCTCCCTGAATTTCCTTGACAAGCTCTGCTCCTATGTATTTTCCAATCTAGTCTACCCACCCTGAGGGGAAAATCTGTCAGTTCTTCAACAACACTAACCCCTGCCACCTGGGGAGGGAGAGACTCCTAGGCAGTCAGCTCCAACTTCCCTTCAGAGCAGAAGAGCCATCTTCAAATGATTTAAGTGGTTCCCTCCAGGTAATGATGACTTGGTCCCTTGTCGGGCTATAAAAACTATCAGTTTGGCGTGAACTAATGACAAAAGAGTACTTTGTAATCATAAAGCATGGGCCTGTTCTTCCCGTCTTAGCAAGGCTGGAGCAGGGTGCTGAGAAATAAGACATAGAAATATAGCCAATATTCAAAAGTCATAACAACACTGAGTTCTTCATTATTGTTATATCCTATAACTCAATTACATTTCAGAAAATAAATTATCTGGATATTTTGATGTTGCCTGGAGCAGTCTACACTCTTCTATATTTAACTGACCTTTTCTGGTGATTGCTAATTTTTTTAAATGCCTATTTTAAAAAAGTCTGCAAAGAGGTGTCAGTCAGTATATAGGACACTTACTATGCATGGCTATAACAAAGGCCACACCTTATAGCATAGCTAAAGTCACCCCACATACTTCTGTTTTGAGGAAAGTACTGAATCACATTTCTCTGTATCTTGAAAATATTTATTTACCTAGCTAGCCTCACTTATAATGTGGCAAATTATCTTCACTTATGATTGAAAGTTCCAGCCTCAAGAAAATGAATTGGACATTTAAGCACCTTGAGGAGCTTTATGGAATGGAATTGTACTGTTTCTTAAGAAAAGTCATCATGACTTTATAAAGCAAGGTCCAGGGGGATATACTGTGCTATCTGACTGATTTATTTAGGATATCATAAATATATCACAAAAGGGGCTTGTAAACTCAATCATAGTTTTTCTTCTTCTGTCCTTTATTTTTTTGGTTCAATTTGTAATAATTTGAGTACCTAATGCTTTCAAAGATGACACTGAATATATCCAGAGAAAGGACCCCCTCTCCTCAGATTTAGCACATTCCTTCCCTGCAGTTGGCTAAGATGAGCTCCCTTAATTCAATAATGGTTGACAAAGAGAGAAACTGTCTGCACATATGGCAATTACTTTGTATTCTTGAACACTAGCTATTCATCAAGGATATAGCCTTTATTGTTTCACTGGTATGTTTCACAATATGTAATCACTTTTTAAGAGAAGGTAATCTTACAAACTCAATTATTTCCTTAGCATATGTTTAGTGAGATGGTAGTTTGGTCAATAGCCCACAGAATACAAATAGGGTTGATGTAAACATACCTCATCCCTATGGGATTGAAGGGTCTAAAGAGTGACATTTCTGTTAGGCCTGGAAAGGTGGACATGCTCAGGCCCCATCTACATGATGTAACAGGAATAGTATTTACATAGTCAGGCAGGTGAGGAGGTGAGAAACCTGAAATATCGAAGGTCATACAGATAGGAAGGCAGGAAGCCTCATAATGGGAGATTGTGTTTGAAGTAGATTTTAGAAGCTTGAACTGCAGAACTAAAGTATGTTGGAAGGTGAGGGCTGTTGTTTTTCTCTCTAGGCGGGCCTGCCACCCAGCTCCTAAATAAATCACACATGGAGACTTATTCTTAACTATGAATGTCCAGCCTTACCTTGGCTTTTTCTTGCCATCTTTCCTTAACTTAAATTATCCCATCTATCTTTTACCTTTGGGCTTTTCCTGTTCTTACTTCTGTAATTCTTACTTCTACTGTGTGGCTCGCCCGTGATGTCCTCCTCCGTCTCTGGCTCCTAGATCTCTCTCTTCTCCCAGATGTCTCCTTCTATATATTCTCTCTGCCTGCCTGCCCCACCTATTTCTCTCTCCTGCCTCACTATTGGCTGTTCAATTCTTCATTAGACCATCAGTGTTTTAAACAGGCACAGTAACACAGCTTCACAGAGTTAAACAAATGCAACATAAACAAAAGTAACACACCTCAAAATAATATTCTACTACAGAGGGCTTAAGTATGATACCCCAGAACAGGTAAGATAACCAGAAACAAACAAGAGGAATGAGTGGTAGCAAGACAGTTTAACAAATGTGACAGAGGCAGGTTGGATTTCTAGTCTAAGATAAGAGAAGATGACCTGGAAGACATGCATAGATAGACACTTTAGGAGAAACTAGCTAAACTGGTAAAAATCACTTGGAAAATGTGAAGTTTTCAAAATAGGTAGAGAAGCAGAGGACTAGAGAGGAAAGGCAACAAAGAAATGAGCTATGGGAGAGGGCATAGCTGGAGACATAAACGGGGTTAGGAGTAAGTAAGAATGCCAGAGAAGTGTGCTCTTGTTTCAATGAAGGCGACAGAAAATACAATCTATAGGTCTTTCTACAGACCATATCGTCTTCCCCGTAGTACTCAGGATAAACACTCAGGAAATTAAAATTAAAAGCAAAGGGGGATGCTAGAGTGTGACAAACAGCAGAAAGCAACCTGGGTATGAGCAGAGTCATGGAAGATATGGCTGAGACTTGTGCTTTTAACTTCAAGGAAAATAGTATTTAACAGAGGAATGTAGTCAGTGACAATTAGGAAAGACCTATTTTAATATCCCGTGGGTGTGAATGAAGCTAAAAGGATGTGAACACGAGGCATTTGTGTTTTGCTTATTTTTGGTTTTTCAAGACAGGGTTTCTCTGTGTAGCCCTGCCTGTTCTGGAACTCTTTCTCTCTCTCTTTCTGCAGACTAGCCTGGCATCAAACTCACAGAGATCCACTTGTCTGTACCTCCTTGGGAGCTGGGATTAAAAGTGTGTACCACTACCCACCACCTGGCCTTTTTTTATTTTTAATGTGAGAGAAATTGTCGCTCCAAGAAATAATAACTGAATAGAGATGATTGCAGATCAAGAGATGGGTATTGGAACAAACTTCCAGGAAAAAGAAGAGGAGAACCTGTTAGTCTTGGAAAGAATGAGCATAGGTTTCCTGAGAAAAAAAACTGAAGAGGGAAAGGTGGGGGGGGAGAGGTCACGAAGAGATTTTAGAAACCAAAGCACAAGATGGAAACAGTCTGAACACAACAGACCGCAGCTGTACAAGGAGGCGTGGTCTGTCTGTTTCTCCACTGAGGACCCACCACCCAAAACACTTCCTGGTACACAAATGATTCCCAGA